AATACTATGCATCAAAAACTGAATCTTGAACCACCAACTTACGAGTTTTCTCATGATCCCGCTACGGGACATTTTTTTTGTCAAGTGAATTTTAATAATCAAGCTTACAAGAATACAATCGCACGTCCAAAGAAACAACAAGCGAAAGAAGATGCCGCAGGTATTGCAATGCAAGGTCTTTCATTGATTATGCCAGATTTCACAGCTGCTATTCGTCAAGAATTGGTTAGAGCTTATCTTTCAGCATTACAGAAAGCAAGAAACAATAAGAATAAGAATAAGAATAAGAATAACATTAATAGTAATAATAGTAATAATAATAATAATCAGAGTTATCATCCTAGACAATTATCATCCTACTCATCACAACAAGTTGTTACTCCCCATCCACTGGAGCTCGTTCCGAAATCGGCTCAATGGTATCAAAAGCAATTGATGCGAGCAAATAAAGGAGAATCGAAGAGACCTTGTGTTTTGCTATTGGAATTCTGTCAAATGCACAGATTAGGACATCCAATCTATAACATCAGAGATGACGGAAGGGGATATTATCTATTTGACTGTACCATAATGGGTCGTACTTTTAATCCTGAATTGGCTCTTTGGCAAAAAAATGATGCTAAGGATCATGTTAGTACTATAGCATTTAATGTATTATACAGGGAATTTTATGAAAAAGAAATAGTTGAAATACAAAGTCGGCTACAACCCTACGGAATTCCTCCTACTTCGGTTGGAATACCACCGTCACATCCTCCTCCCAATGTAGCTTATTCACCTCTACATCATTCTATGTATCCTAATACTGCCGATGGAAGCAATTATTATGCTACGGCTGAGCATGCCAGTTATTACGCTACAGATCCCAATGGCCAAGTTGCCATGTATTATTCTAATACTACCATGACAAATGCTTCTCATCAAAGGAATTAATTAATTATGATTATATAAACGAGTATACGTGTATTAGTAATAAATGTATAAATTTTTTTTTTGTAATTATCATTAGCAATTACTCTTTTTTTTTTTACTTTTTTTTTTATTATTAAAATATTTATTTTCACATTATTATTTTTTTTTTATTACGAGTTTTTTTATATATATTTATCAAATATATGTTAAAGAATGGTTATCGTATTGTTATGTCCTTTCATATAAATTTCCGCAAAACTTTAATTGTCGATCTTTGTTGATTATACAGTTCACTCTTTTTTTTTCTTTTTTAAAAAATAAAATAAATAAGAAAATGACATTAAAGTTAAGATTTGAATCCTTATTTTTAATATTACTTTTAATTATTTTTATCATAACACCTATTGTGCAAACAGCAGACGTTAAGTCTTTTTGTAAATGTGTGTGCGCGGAAAATTCAACAATAGTTTCTTTAAATCTTGATCAAACATGTTCCGATTGTAATAGAGCTAATTGTATAAATCAAATGAAAGATCTCTGTGCTGGTGG